TCAATTCTGGAACCAACTACTTCTGGACTTCTTATGGGAAATAATAGCCTCATGGATTAAGCAATTAAATTGTTGTTTTCAATTCCTTACAGCCAAGAACATTCTGTCCCTTTTACATTTTCCTCATACAGGGTTATCTTCTCACCCTCCTCAAGTGCCTGCCTGGCAAACTCTCACTTCAAGATAAGGTTTAACTGTCACCTCCTGTATGATAGGGCACACTGATATGTTGTCATGAGATCTTGTGTTTATATCCATAACTCTCCATTAGACTATAAGATCCCTGGGGGTACTGTTAGTTTTTGTATTTCTAGTACCTAGATGTTTGTTGAATGAATTAATAAATAAATGGGAAGGTTTATATTATATTTTGGTTCAGTTTAAGGCTCCCACAAATTTTTTTTTTTTTTTTTGGTAATATTCAACGACAGTTCTTACAATAGAAACAAAATTTTACAAGGATGATAATAAACTTGGATGAATTCATTACTGAGTACCCCAGATCTTATACCAGGTACCCATTAATCTACTTAGGGACAGAGAAGAGTAAAGAGTAGAGAATGTGAATAGGATCAGACAGGATGGACTAAAATAAAACTGAGAATTCATTTGCGAAAGGTGTCATGAGTAACAAAGAGGTGTTAATCCTACGTGTCAATGTAACCTTTAGCAAAAAAAGAACTTTGGTTCTAAGAAATGTAACTGCTCAGAGTGATTTACATTATTCCAGAAGGTAACTCCCACTGGATGCTCCCAGGGATTTTACTTTAAAAAAGGTGAATAATTTCTAGAATAACTCCAAGGTGGTGTTAGATGCACACTTAAAACATTAAGAAATGTTAGAAGATATGACCAACTCATAAAAACCCTAGCCCCTGTGTCAGCACGGTTCAAAAGAACTTTCTGCAATGACGGAAATATTCTATATGCATTATGCATTATGGTAGCCTCTAGCCACATGTGGCTATCGAGCCCTTGAAATGTGGTTAGCGAGACTGAGGAATTGAATGTTCAATTTAATTAAATTTATATTTAACTAGTCACATGCAGCTAGTAGCTCCATGTTGGACAGTGCAAGTATGTTTTCTGTGTCCTGGTGTTAGTCAGGACAGGCTAGGTTATACTGCAGTAACAACCCCCAAATATTAGTGACTTAAAGTTTTATTTCTCTCTCCCAGTACACATCCATCACGTCATCTGGGGACTCTGTGTTACATCTCCTCCTTCTGGGACCCTCTTGGATGCTGCTGGTTATTGTAACAGAGGGAACAATAAAGAGAGCTCTGGAGGGTTTTACACTGGCAATCAAATGAATGCTTGGCTCAGAAGTGATACATATCACTTTCTCTCATAATTCATTGGCCAGCACTAATCATACAGTCCTATCCACCCCAGAGGGCCAGGAAATGCCACCCAATTACGGAGCATGGGGGACAAATAGTAGGTGAGTAGCACCGGTGACTGAACAAGTAAGCATCACTAAAATAATACATCAAATTGAACAAAAATAATTCATGGTTTTAAAAGTTAGGTGTATGTTTATACAAAGGAATCAACAAAACATATGCACAAACACCAGGAATGCTCCTTTTACAAAATCAAGGAAGGAAGGAAGATTGGAGTGGTTTGGTGTTTTACATATAATTTTTATTAAGCTTTTCAATAAGCAAATCAGTTAATTAAAGGAGAAAAAGAAGGAAGCATAAGCATAATTTATCTTCCATTATAATTAAAGAGGATAATTTTACCTTTTAAAAAATCTTTTTTTGAGAAATAAAATGAGTCTACCCAGTCTTGCAACAATAGGATCTTACTATAACTCTAAGTATAGGCTATCCGCGGCTGTTTAAAACTGATGTTAGACAATCTTGGAATTAGATGAGACCTTAGAGGCCAGTTATTTTAATCTACAATATGGGGATCCTTCCTACAGCTTTCCATATCTTCTGGGTGCAGAGGAAGCCCAGTGCTGTTCCGGGAATTCATTTGATTGGCAGACAGGTAAAACTGAGAACTCTTTCTGCTGTATCACAAGCAGTATCTCTGAGCTTTCAATGTATTTGCTCTGGCTCCACAGCCCCCAAGCAGAGGGGCCAGCCCCTTTGCTCTGTGAGAACCCTCAGCCCTCTAGAAAGAGTTTCTCTGTCCCCCGGGTTTTCTCTTTGGGGCTATTCCGCCTTGTGCCTTGCTCCCCATGCCATCTATTCTTCTATTAGCCCTTCTTGGACCATGCAGAACAGAGTTGGGGTAGGGTGCAAAAAAGCACAGACTTTGGGTACAGAGAGTTTGAGCATCAAATCCTAGATACTTGATTTGATTCTGAGTTCTCCATAAAGTGGAGAATAACTACATCTATCTCTTCATCTTGTTAAGAGGATGAAACAGAATTAGATCTGTAAACTAATAGATGCACAATAAATATTAACTTCATTACGATGTTTCTTTTAAAGTGTGATGGATAGAGTTAAATTCAATATTTTTTATGTGATCTGATCAGTAGAGAGTAAACTATTTCTCCTCTCTGGAATACCACCCTATTCCTTCATTTATATCACTTAAAATTATTAGCATTATCTTTTGCGGGCAGCCAGACATACCATTAATTCATGTTGTACTTAAATGTACCAATTTCCACTATGTCACAGCCTTACTTAACTTGTTGACATTTTAAGCCTCAAGTGTAAGTTAATCAGATGAAATTTGATAGGAATAATGGTCGTATTGGCTTGTTGCTCATTAGTTTATTTGTTTGTTTTGCTTTTCATAGACTTTTAAAAGAGCAGTTTTAGGATCACAGCAATATTCAGCAGAAGTTACAGAGATTTCTCATATACCCGCTACCCCCACATATGCATAGCCTCCCCCATTACCAACATCCCTCACCAGAGTGGTACATTTGTAACCACTGATGAACCTACACTAACACATCATTATCATCTAAAGTCCATAGTTTACATTAGAGTTCATTCTGGGTGTTGTGCATTCTATGGGTTTGGACAATTTATAATGACTTGTATCCACCATTACAATATCATACATAGTTTCCCTGCTTTACAAATCCTCTGTGCTCCGTCTGCTCATCATTCCCTCCCTAACCCCTGGCAACCACTGATTTCTTACTGTCTCCATAGCGTTGCCTTCTCCAGAATGTCGTATATTTGTAATCGTAGAGGATATGGCGTCTTCAGATTGGCTTCTTTCACTTGGTAATATGCATTTACGTTTTCTCCATGTCTTTTCATGGCTTGAAGCTCATTTCATTTTAGTGCTGAGTAACATTCAATTGTCTGGATGCCCACAGTTTATTTATCCATTCACCTACCAAAGGATATCTTGGTTGTTTCCAAGTTCGAACTATTATGAATAAAGCTGCTATAAACATCTGTGTGCAGATTTTTCTGTGGAGGTAAATTTTCATCTCCTTTGGGTAAATCCCAAGGAGCATGATTTCTGGGTCACATGGTAAGACATGTTTCATTTTGTGAGAAACTCCCAAACTGTCTTCCGATGTGGGTACCATTTTGCACTCTCACCAGCAGGGAGTGAGAGGTCCTGTCGCTCTGCATCCTCGCCAGCATTCAGTGTTGTCAGTGTTCCGGAATTTGGTCATCCCAATAGGTGTGCGGTCGTACACGCTAGCTTTTGTCAAGGTCTCAGTTGTTTGAATCATGACTCGAAGCTAAATATCAGCTGCCTCTTCAAGAGTTGTATGTTCTACGGACTTAATAAGTATGTGATTACTGGAAAGACCACAGACATTGGAGACCGCCAGACCTGAGATTTGTATCTTAACTCTGGTACTACTAGGGAGGAATTATTTAACTTCTGTGAGCCAGTTTCCTCCTTCGTAAAATGGAAGTCATAAATTAATAATAACAGTACTTACTTCAGTGAATTGTATAAATAATGTAACGTCTCTGATTTTATTCAAGTGATTAATAAAAATATTTGACCAGCAAGAGACTCAAGACTGAAACTTGTACCATATCACTATCGACTTTTCTCTAGGTTGAATAACCACCGTTCTTTGAGCACATATATCTGCCCCATCATCCAGCCCACACGGTTTCATCTTTCAGGTATATCTGGACATTTGTCAAATGCTTTACTAAAATCAAATACTCACTAAGGTATTTGTGCACCTTTTCCCTTCTTCCATCTCAGATTTTGGGTGGATACATACTATTTTTAATTCTCTCTTAATTAGTTCCTCCTTGTATTTCTAAAGGATATAGAGAGATCTCTGGTTTCTAGGTTACTACATTTCCTGAGTGGATGATCTCTCTACGAAGTAATTTGAGTTTCCCTGGCTTCTTTTAGAAGGAGTTATTGTAGAAAAGGGTACATGTGTTAGCTGAGACAAATCTCTCATTTTATTCGAGGGTTATGTGTGTGTGCACATGCATGTGTGTCTGTCTGATGGTGCAACAGGGCTTGAATTACATCTTTGGAACTCTTTGATCTTATCTATCTAGTCAGTATCTCCACCATCAAATCAGAGCTTAGACTTCTCACCACTTTTGCTATCATCACAAACAATCAGGATTCAGTAGAAGGAGATAGTCTGAAATTTCATTCTAACCAGTAGCTCATTCTATTCAAACTCTTAAAATCTGGCTGTGGTGGGGTGGTAATGTGTTTTGACAGTACAGGTAGTGAAGGAAGAAGCACCCCCTAGGAAATCATAATGAAAAGTCTTAAGCAAATCTTTTTGTTGACAACTTTATCCAAGAAACCATCTTCTCTGGCGACTATTCTAAACTTTAGACTAATCCTCTCCTTGCCACGGAAGTCCTTCTGTTTGGAGAAATTGTAAGTGAACACAGGAGTGATAGGCCTCTGTAAGCACTAGCTCTGTCTCCAAATTCTTTCAATTGTCAGTCTCCCATCTGTCCTGATGTCCTTTCTGCCCAAGGATCTCTCCATCGTATAACGAAATGGATGCAATTATCCAGAGATCCTCTTCTCAGACTATCTCAGACTCTGTGTAATTTTTGAGCCAATCACTGTGAAATTCTAGGCAAATGACAACAGCAATAACTTTCCATTGCTTTTTCTTCAAGTGTTATGTAACATTGCCTTGGACATCATATTTAAAACATTTCAGGTCACAGGTGATGGTATAAAACCCTTGGTCCAGTGTGGAGTTAATTTGAAGCTTCTTGGTAGCTAAAGCAAGTTAAAACTGAAACGGCAGTAATGTAGCCCTGAAAATAAAATGAAGAATAAACAAAATCAAAATAATGAATGATATAGTACAGATTGAGAAAGGAAAATCTGTTAAACATTATCGAAAAGTTACTGATAGAATCATATGTATCGACAGAAAAGGCAATAGTAAATTATAACAGAGGCAGCATCTTACCTGTGGTAATAAGAACTAAGTAAGCTGTAAAATAACCAAAATCTATCTTTGAATATACAAACTAGAGTTGTACCTCACCACACCCCACTGTATACATTTTTACCGTTCCTGAAACTTGACATTTTGAGGACCTTTGAAGAGTCTGAATTTTGAGACACCGCTGCCAGTTACAAGTCCCCTAACCCAATTTACATTTTGAATCTCTTAAAAAGTGAATATTTTAACATAAATTCAATTTAGTGAAAAAAATTTACAGGCCCCAAGTGTCTGTTGATTACAACTTTTAGTCTCTTTAACTCCAGCGCTGCCAGATTTTGCTGATCCCAAGCCATTTATTAAACAGTTTAATTGCTCTAGCTTTTCCCTTTTGCGGTTCATCTCCTACCGGTTTTATCTCCTCACAGTAGTGCCAAGGGCCTAGGGACATCATGAGATTCCTGCAATAAAAGCGAAATCTGCCTCCTCCTTTTCTTTGATTGCTGGCGTTAGTGCCACGCAGCATTTAATTGATTTTCTATTGTGACCAATTTACATCTATGAGTTAACAATGCTTTGTGAAAAGTCACTATAGATCAGAGAGGTGGGGTTATGCTTCTACCTTCTAGCTGCTTCATAAAACAAAATAACAACAGTAGAAATGATGGTTATGCTTAAGGAGCGCCATCATCGGAGGCCATTTCCATCAACGTCTTTGATAATTTTATAAAGCTCAAATCTTTTACTTTACAGAACGTAGCGAAAGCACATCCTATTCTCATAACTAGTGGGTTTAAAATGGCGTAATTACACAGTAAAATCTCTGCTGTAGAAAATATTTTGCTTAGAAAACACCATATTATTTTATTGTCTATTTTAATTTCAATTGTATGTTGTCGAAATACTAACTCACGTAGTTCATAAGTGCTCTGAGGAACAGTTATAATTCTAAACATCCCTGCGCTTTCCAAATTTCTAAATACGACGATCTTAGAAGATCCAGAAGGCAGACATCCTTGGTGTGTACATGCCTTCAAATATCAACGGCTAACGAGAGATCCGAGAGAAAGCGGCAAAAGGCTGTATCTTGCCATGTGAACGATGTTGTGGGGTGGGGTGTAGGGAGCATGCCAGTGGTTATCATCTAGGCCTCAAAAGTTCTGTTAGGAAGCACAGCCAAGCTGTGGTTGCCAAATGGGAGGCCAGACCGTAGTTTGATGCATGTGTCTTTGGATATAGCCAGAGTCACCTAAAGGGCTGGCCGGCTGGCTCCGTGCATGGGTCCCACCTTGATTCCTCTCTCTTGATTACTGTCCCCTCTACCCACTATGGTAGGCTCAGTATGGGAAGTGCTCTTGTAACATCTAGGGCTGTCTGTATTATGGTTGCTTGGGGGTTGTCCCACCTGGCTTCCTGTGCCTACCGGCGGAAATCCCTTTAAGGTAGGGTAGCTCTGAGAAAATACTCCACAGCATCTCTTCCTCCTAAAGATTATCCCGGAAAGATGGGCTGCCCAGGGCTGACTGAGGAGACTCCTGAGAGCAGCTGCATCTGTGACATTTGTGGATGGCTCCTGCCTGTCCATCAGGCCCCTGTAGTTCTTAGAACTTGCCTTGAATGAGAGGACTCCCTATAACCATGCAACTATGCAGAAGGTGTAGCCTGAGAAGCCTGTAGCAGCGATGATTTGACTCTCATAGACTTCTAGAATCATCTCTTGGGCAGGTTCTGAAGCAGGACTTCACTGGCACTGCGAGCAGGAGGCCTGGTGGTAATTTGTACCATTATGGTGACTAAGCATCCTAGGTCACCTGAGATTGTGCCAGTTTCAGCACTAAACATACCACATCTCTGGATACTCCTCAGTCTCAAGCAAATGGGGACAGTTGGTCACCTGATCTTTGATTTTGTCCTATCAGCTGACAGAACTATATAGTTAAGGGGATACAAGATGCCAGTTGTAATCCTTTATTCCACCTCTGTCAGCCAAAGGCCTCATAATGACCTGTCCATTCTGTCTGAGGAGCCTTACCAGTCCTCTGGGAGTGGGAGAGACAGGTAATGCACGTTATTACTCTCCTTTCACAGGGAGTTAGGTCACCTGACCCTAGAGCGGGAATGAAGAGCCAAACACAGAACAGAGGCGCTCTGCATCCACGGACCATGCCCTCTGCACCTGGCAGCAATCTCTTTTCGACCCTGTCCATAAGGAGCCTCACTGTTGGGACCACGTACCTGGAAGAATCTTGGCGATGTCATCCTTTCTCTTCACCAGCATTTGCTAAACTGGGCTGGGTGGTGACCTTTCTGGTACAAGGCCAAAAGGTCACACATTTCTGGTTTCAGCTGCACTCCTGAAACTGTAAACAAAGACTCCTCTATAGAGAAAAAAAAAAAAAAAAAAAAGAGAGAAGCACCAACATATTATTTCCTGGGATTTTTCATGGTGTACTTTTTATGTCTTTGTAATATTTGTCACTGGAAGAGATGTCAAAACATGAGCCAGACTTACCAACCAATAATTTATACTGACTCATGGAAAATTTACTTTACTGAATCTACTAATAGCTGTCAAGTGCCTCTTATTCAATCTAATTCAATGCATATTTACCAAATGAACACTTGGGTAACGCATTATGCTAGGTGTTAGAAGGTGGCAAAAATAGGAATAGAACTGGGGGAACACACACGCAAACAAACAAGGGCCAAAGTGAGGTGCAAACAAAGAACTATGACAGCCCCTCTTCTAAGTCTAAGGAGCTCAGGAAAAGCATGGACAAGGGCCCTTTGAACCTTGAAGGATGACCATGTTAACAGGCAAGGAATTCCAGGGAGGACAGTCCTGCCTGAGGGATCAGCGTGAGCAAAGGCATGGAGGAAGGAAAGTGCTTGAGAGAATTGCAAGTAATCTTGCTTGGTTCAAGCAAGACAAACTAGAAGATAAAGTTGGAAAAATGGATTAGAACCAGAGGGTGAAGAGAGCTGCTCTCAAGCCAAGGAGTCTGAATATTAGTCCCAGTGATGATGGGGAACAAGCACCGTGCTGGGCTAGTTGTGTTTTGGAAAATTTCTAATCCTGCTACATTAGATACATTAGGCAATCTATTTAAATAGACTCTCAGGTACAACTTCTGTAAATTAAAAAAAATTGAAATATATATATGTGTGTGTGTGTATATATATGTGTGTGTATATATATACATATATATGTGTGTGTATATATGTATACATATATGTATATACGTGTGTGTATATATATATATACGTATATGTATACATATACGTTACCCAAGTGTTCATTTGGTAAATATACATATACGTATATATATATATATACACTACCTTTGTCCTCTGATTCGTGTAGCAGGTTAGTTGAGAATGACGGCAGTTGACATTTTTATAAATGCCTGTTCGTTAAGTGTGTTATTCCCGGGTGCTTCCTATGCTAAAATTGTGGGCCTAGTCCTCCAAAAGTTAACATTTTAAGGGGCTCATCTGCAAAATGGGGATAATAAAACTCCCTAGCAGATTGCAGTAAATTTAAAGAAGATAATGTATATAAAACATCTTGGGTTGTTCCTGATACACAATATGCTTTTAATAACCAGTAGCCATTGTTACAAGCATCAGTATAGATACCATCTGAGAAAAAAAGCAAGAAGCAACAGCCACATTGTCACAAAGCACATCCACAAAACCTGCTCAGGGCATCTCTCTACTTGGGCATTGCTTTGTCAAGGCTGACAATCTGCATAAACCTGGGTTACTCTAAATACCACACAATTTAATAAAAAGAGAAGCTTCTAGCTCTGGCGCACTGAAAGCATAAAATGCCTTAATAATATTGTTTGCTGGAAACTGCTCGCACCTGAAGGAAAGACATAAACCTGCATGCTGGCTCTGTCTCGCTCAGCCTAGACCTATGCTGAGAGTGATCTGTGGCCTTGAGTCCTTCGGTTTGGAGTTAATTACATATTTGCTAGGCTGGAAAAGGAAGACATCAAGTTTTGTTAATATGCATAATACATCTTCAGAGGTACATTATAATAGACAATTTCGTATTCTACTTTCTTTTTAGCTCATGTCATAGCATAAACAAACAGCTAAAATAAACGGAGCAGAACGTCACAGATTACTCTCAAGTCATCTCAAGTCCAAACCAGTCTGGGAACTTCCCTCAGAAAGACATGTCCTCTTGCCTTGGGGGACAGTGGCATGAAGATTCCCTCAGGCTTCCTTGCCCCTCAAAAGCAGCAGCTCCTCAAGAGCAAGGAGGAAGGGAGGAAGAAGGGCGGGGAAAGAGAGTGAAAAAATAAGGTGAGGGGGAGAGAGACAGACAGACAGACAGACATTATCTGGCAGAACGGTGCTGGGAAAGCAACCAGTTATTCAAAGGGATGCCAATTTGCCTGGGACTGCCTGACTGTCCTTCCCAATTCACAGGGAAAAAGGAAAAAAAAAAAAAAGCAAGGGGGAAAAAAAAGAAGGGAAGAAAGAAAAAGAAGAAGGAAGAAAAGCAGCAGAGCTGTTCTCCTGCAGCAATCTCACCACAAATGCAAAACCTTCCATTCGGCTGACTCCTCATTAGCTTACTGAATCTGACAGCATAATTATCGCAGCTGCTTTGCGCTTAGAATAAATAAATACGAAAGTGGGTGTTTAAAATTTTTTTTGAGAAGGGAAATTCAGTCATCTAGACAGTCAGTAGGACAAGTTTATTTAAAACTTTTAGATTCTTATGTATTTAGATCATTTCGGAACAAGATAATGAGATAGTTGTCTTTCAGTCTAATTGAGTTCCTAAGCTTCTGGCTGTTGGCTGTCACCCCTTTCAAACTTTGCTTTAACTTTCCTTCCTTTAGAAATCTGATCCTGGTGTCTCCATTTACTCTTCCTGGGCTGAGAACCTGGTAAAGGCTCAGTGCACTGGAGTGCAGAAAGTGACTTAATGGGATTGAGGAGCTAAATAACCTTTCGCAGGAAACAAGATAATCGAATCTCTTTTACTTGCCTGTAATGGCTAAAAGAGAAAGCACAAGTTAAAAAGAAAGCTTGGAAATTAAACCATCATTTCGAAATGTCTTGTAATTCCCCTTGTCACGTGGTTTTTGCACTACTCTTGCACATCATCAATCCATCAGCTGGGGTTGCTTAGTGCATTTAATTATTCAGAGTGCACACAGCCTCATGACGACGCCGTAATTTTAGCTCATGTGTATGTATATAGGCTTCATATCTTCAAAGCCCAAAGGATCACACAGTACTTTAAATTGAACTTGCTAACTAACAAGGAGCCACTTAAAACACTCTGACTAGGGGCACAGCACATATGCATTTCCGATTAAAGCAGATGATCTTTCCTTTTAAAATTAATTAGTGCCTATTTATCTTTTCCTCTCCCTCCCACCTCTCATTCTCTCAGGACCAAATTTATATGAATCCTTGTATTCAGTGAGTTAAAAGCTTTATAAAATAAACATTCTGTCAATCTGGGGTAAAGGAAACTAGTATTAATTCTTGTGCAGGTTGAGATATTGAGGTTCATGAAGGCCAATAATGCATGTTACACTGGGGCATGGGGGAAACTTCAGGTCCTTTAACTCTCGATCCAGAGCCTGGACTTCCTGTACTGTTGGCCTTACCTCATTTTTTTAAACAATAGAGGAAATATAATATCAACATTAAAGAAAACTTTGAAAAAGGAATAAATTTTCCGCAATCCCCCTAAACTAGAGGAGCATTTTAATTGTTATCTACTACTTTTCAGTTTTGTTGATATGCATAATACATTTTCACAGGTACATTATAATATGTATTTTTGTATCCTACTTTCTTTTAGCTCATGTCATAGCATAAATATTTCCATATTACCACACACTCCTCTGAATTATCATTTTAAATGGTTACATAGTACCATTAAATTGTTACGTAGTACTGAGTCAATATGCCAAAATTTGTCCACTTGGTTTTCTAGTGTTGAATATTAGACTGTTTCTTTTATTTTTATTTTGTAAGTTTTAAAAATTATAGACAACACTGCATCACTGGACGTTTTTATGCATCTAGGGTATTTTTTTTTCTGCTCAACTGTTTCTTTGTATAACTTCCAGGAACCAAAGTAGAGGGTTGACAGTTGTGATCATTTTTATAGCTCCTGATATAAATGTCATAATGTTTTGCAAAGATTGCCCCAACCGACGTCACCATCAACAGAGAATTGTTTTATTATGATATCACAAACCCTGGGAGCTATTAGGTTAAGGGAAAAAAAAAAACTAAATTTAACAGATATTTGTATTTATTTAATCACTAGTAAGGCTGTCTATTGACATGCTCTTGTTTTGTTTCCTTTGCAGAAATTGCTATTTTGTGCCTTTGCCCAATTTTCCTTTGGATTCCTGATGTTTTTCTTATACAATTGGATAAGTAATAGTGAAACAAAAAAAAAAAAATAAACCACCATCAATTAAGAAATCTTAAAACCCAAGAATGACTGTGTATTTAAAAAAGATAAAGAAGAAGAACAGAAAGATAAAAGGTCAGGGGTCTCCGTTAAACATAAAATTGAGCCCTCTTAATTTTGAGATATTAAATATGTTACCTGGGGACATGTGGACTCTTTCCAGGGAAGGCTTTAAAATAAACACAGATAGAGCATGAGGCAGTAGAAAGGTCATGGGAAAGGGAGTCAAGATCGTGGTTCCAATCCTCATTGTGCTACTAAGTTTCCATGTGGTCTTTACTGAGAAGCAATGAGTAGTGGAAGGAGAGTGGCTTGGGAGTCTGACCTGAAGTCAAATCTTGGCTCTCTCGTTTACTGTCTGTATGACTGAGCAATTAGCCTCTCTCAGTCCCGATTTTCTAATATGTAATCTGAGGCTAATAACTTCAGACTCACCAGTTAGTGTAGAGATCGAATAAGAATTTATGTAAACCACATAGCTGCCCAACAAATGGCAGGCACTATTATTCTTCCCAGGGATTCATCTACATAATGAAGATATAGAATAGCGAGTCTTTAAGTCCTTTCGCACTTGAAGGTCTCAAACCCTTTCCTGAAGGATTCATCTTACTTGGAGACTCTTCTATGCTAACATATTTAACCAATTGAAGGGCTTGGTGGGGCTGAGGGACTTGGTTTACTCAGACTTCTCATAGCAACACAACTCTACGCAACGCCATGAGCCATGTTTCAGCCCAGTATCTCATCTAATGTATTGGAATGGGCTGAGGACAACTTTGAGCATAGAAGGTGAAGAGGTTTGTTGTGGAAGACACTCCCTAACTTGCTTCTTAATACATATCTTCTTAAGTACTGATTAATGGAAGATTTGAAAGATAGAAAGAGCAGTCTGAGTTAGGTTACAAACTCTTAGAA